TTGTCACGCATCGAAAGAATACAAGTAAGGATAGTTAATATAAGCGGATATTATTAAAAGACAACGCCAAGGAAAGAATGACAGTGAAATACAGGATCCCAAACAAAAGCTTGGGAATTTGACCAGGTCACTGTTACTCTTTTCCTTAGCCTTCTCTCACTTTTGAATCTTTGGATCCACGAATCCAAAGAAGTAGATATTTCGGACCTTAAGAGTCCCTTCTTTCACCTTTAAATCGTCGGACCCCAAGTGTCCGGCTCAGCCCAATTCCTCTCTGGCTCTCTGCCAAGGAACTCTAAGCTTCGGACCCTAAGTGTCTGGCTCAGCACAGTTCCCTTATGGCTCATTGCAGAGGAATTCCTCACTTCGGATCCTAAGAGTCCGAGGATGACAGTAGAATATTCCTCTAAGGCATACTGAAGAAGTTAGTACCTAGGACTCCCTAGGTCTAAAGAGTCGAAAATCAGATGGGGATAAATATTCTCTATGAACATTACATATTCGGGCCCCGATGTTTGACCCAATAATGTTGTGCTCATTAAAAGTTTGTCCCACATCGAAATAATACAAGAAAAAATAAGTATTGATATATCTACTCCGTACGAGTCAATGGCAAGAAGGGTTCCCTTGACGGTTAGATCACTAGATGGGGAAACCATCCTCGGATATTTGTCGAACTGTCAAAGGAATTCATTTCTTACCATCTTTCTTGTTTTTGCTTCGGACCACAAGGGATACGAAGCCTTCAGACAATGAATCTTCCTCAAAGATATGAGAACATTACCACTCAGTGATTGTATAAAATTCAGGAGCATTCACAAACATGTAAATCACCTCAAAATAAATTTAATTATTATAACCTAGGAGCAAAAATACATTGTCTCAACACTCATTGGTTCAGAATAAGAAATTACATAACTCTACTTCCTTTTTGGGTCAAAAGGAGTAGAGTCAAATGCATCAACCACATTCTGGTTGGAAACAGTTTCTGAATGGAGTAAAGGCTTTGAAGCTAGTAGAACTGAAGAACTTGGAGCTGGATGATCCTCTTGATAAGACTTCACCATCTCAGCAAATAACACCTCAGCCTCTTGTGCTGGTAGACCCTCTGAGTAAGGGAAGGACACTTTCAGATCTGCATCAAAGGTATCTGGATCCTTCAGCTTGTGACCAGAGCCCTGGTTAAATCCATGACGGAAGGCCTTTGCGCTTGACAAACACACAATGGTAGAGTAACGTCCCTGTATTTATTTTCTAGCAGTGATGCAGGTACCAATCGCATCTTTCAAATGCTGGTTCTCAGCCTCTAGTGCCTCCACCTTAGCGTCAGAAGTGGCCAAGCGGTTCTTATAGACGTCCCTCGCCTCAGAAGCTATCTTCGAATTCAGAGTAGCATTTGAAGCCTTCTTCTCAGCGTTGGTAAGGTCTCTCTCCAGCTTCTTAAGTGAAAGAGACTGAGCCTCAGCAGTGGCACACAGGGCCATAGTGTGATATAGGCTCTACACAATCAATGGCAACAATAGAAATAATATAAGTAGAGTAGAAAGAAAAGCTAAGAAGATAACAAAGAAGGGAAGAGAGTGAACCTCCATAGCTCGAACTGGAGCAGAAGGAAGAAGCTGGTCCAGCTTCATATTGTCCATAATTTTTTCATCTTTGGGCAGCCACACTCCTCGTGCAACTGCCAGAGCCGCAGAAGGATCAGTCACAATCAAATCCGCGGAGTGAAGGATTGATTTATCCACCCTAGAAAAGTTAAGCCTCCAAGGATCGCCTTTTTCTGCCAAGAAAGCCACCACCTCCTCCTTAGGGGCAACTTCACTATTCTTCTTACCCTTGCCCTTTAAAGGGGTAACACCTTTGGTTTTGGCTGTGGAAGGGGGGTTCAATTTTGACTTCATCAACTTCTTTTTCCTGCTCAGTGGATCTTATGACTGCCAGAGGTTGGTTCTCTGGACCCTTCTTCGTTAAAGTTTCAGCCCTCTGTTTCTCTTCATCAGTCAAAGGGAAGCTGTCAAAGGAGGGGAGTGACAGGTGCATGAGGTCAGCAGCTACAACATTGGAAGCGATTTCCTTAAGATCAAATGAAGAGAGTAAGTCTTCAGCTGAAGGGGGGTTGTTCCAGACTTGTGCCTCGAGAAAAGTAGGTATCTTCTTGACTGCGGAGGAGGGAAATGTTGCTGAAAGAACACCAAGAAATTCATAAGTATTACGAAGAGTATAACTTGACATGGAAAACAACCAAAACACTTTTTATGAAGGGAAGGAAGATATTCTATACCCAGCTTCCCAAATTTGCGAGGGATGGGAAGGTTATTCGATTGATGCACAGATCAGTTCCCCTTGATAATTATCATCCTCTCTTTGTACTTTTTCTCGGAGGAAGGAAGGTCCGTGCATATCCTCTGTTGAAGAGGGGAAGTAAAATAAAAACGGCCAGGCTCAGTCCCGTGCCTGGAAATGGTGTATGTAATCAATAGGTCCGCGAAAGTCAAGTCTAGATTCTCTAGTCTTCGGCGAACAAGAAGAGCTGAGACTATTCGAAGAAAGTTAGGGTTTACTTGAAGAGGGGCAAGACCTAACTTATTGAAGACCAAATGATAGAAGACGTGAAGAGGAAAGCGAAGAGCATTAAGGTACCCAACTGATAAGAGCAATTCATTCTTTCAGATGCCCTCGCCTGAACTGAAATCAGCTGTCCTTGGGTATTCAACAATCTCCACCCCCTCGGGGATTTCAAATTCTTCCATTACCGAATCAATGGTGACATTAAGACGTCGAAGAGATAAAATCAAGTCATTCTCCTCCTTAGTGAAGATACCACTCGACCTAGAAGTGGACACCTTAGCTAGAGGTAAGGAATCATCCATTCGATTGGCCAAATCTTTTGCAAATTCAGGGGGGTTGGAAACCTTAGGAGGAGGAACCCTAATAAGGGTGGGGGAAGAAGAGGGTGTGGAATCAGAATCTACGATGTCGATGTGGTTGTGAGTGGATGAAGAACTTATGGTGCGAAAGAAATCAGACAAGTGAAGGACTAACCTGGAATCGTGTTGAAGTAATGAGCACAATGAACTTCGTGAAGCCAAAAACAAGTTGTGAAGAAGCCTTTTGGTCAGAATATCAGCAGTCACTCCTCGAAACCGCCTCTAACGAAATTGACAACTGTATAACTTCAATTCCCTTCTAATTAGGAGCCGTAGTCCAATTAAAAAGGGAACTGGGGGCAAAGTGTGGAGGGAAAAATCCCCCTCCAATGAAAGCCAGCCACGTAGCCACAACATAAGTCTTATTTTTAATCCCTTGACGGTTAAGAATAAAGCCCAGCTCTGTTCAAGCCAGGATAAAGACACCAACAGCCCAAGTCGCTAATGTTGAACCTCCGGCCCAGTAACAAAGTCATTTGGACCAAGTTGCGTTCGGCCCACATACGTTTAAAGAAGGAATGATTCCTACTAAGCAAAGGATTCATCACGAAAGGAAAGTTCTACAAGAGGAAGAAATCTGATATAGAGATAATTGTAAAATGAAGTAATTTACTTAGTAAGGAATTGTATATGAAATTAATTGGAGGGCAAGTAAGGCGAGTCCTATCATAATTCTACCATCTTTTTGTATATAAATAGAAACTCAGACCTCCAATAAAAGGCATCAAGCAATATACGCTTCTCTTTGAATAGTTCTTGTGGCTTATTATTTTATATTTGAGTGAATTGTTTAATTTATTTTTATTTTTGATATAGAGAGAAATTTTGCACTTACATCTACTTATGATTTTTATTTAAATAATTAATTTTAAAAATTAAAAGTAACTTTATGCTAATTTAATGGAAAATATGTCATCAAATTAGTATGAATTTTATTTCATAATTTATTTTAATAGAAAAAATAGATTAAGTGTAAATTATTAAGAAATGACATTATGGTCATTTAATGAAATATAGTCTAAGTATTGGACCATTTTGTAACAAAATATGATAGTTTAGAGAGTATTATGTACAAAATATAATATAATGGGGATTATTTACAAATTCAAACAAATAATATAGGGAGGAATTATTTACAAATTCAAACAAAGATTAGAGATTTTTGCACTTTACCCTTTTATTTCATACTCAAACCTATTGAATTTTTAAATTTTGGACTTATTAATATTTGATTTTAAGTCCTTTACTCTAAGCACCCAGTAGTTGACTCGTATGAAACTAATCATCATGTTGTACTACTTAGCAAAATATATATATATATATATATATATATATATTTATATATGTACTTTTATATTAAAAGATAAATAGCATCGATTTGTATTATGGAGTCTTAAGATTACTTAGATATATGCCGCCTTACTTTTTAGAGAAGTTATTTTCTTAAAATAAATTTAGGACAAATAAGTCTAACTTACGGGAAAAAAAAAAAATCCATATAAGCTCTAAATTACTAAATCTTCCATTTATACGTTTGTTAAATTTGATATGAAATTTAAAAATCACGCTTTCATTCAATTTATCAGATATAAAAAAGAAAAATTAAAATAAAAGATTTATTTTATTGACTTTTTATAAAATACTTCATTATTCTACACTAAAGTCTTTGTGAATTCTAAGCAAAATTTTTGGATTGAATTTAAATTAAATTAATTATTGTTCATGCTCATTAATTAATTATAATGAATATATAAAAATATTATATTATAGATTATTTTTTTTAATAAAGTTATGATTATAAAATTTTACTTTTAGCAAGGGTGTTAATGAAAGATTTTAGTGATTTAGAACTTAAAGTGATTTTTTTTTTTTTTTTTCAAACATAGGACTTATTGGTCCTAAAGGAAATTTATAAGATATATTTATATTTTAATTAATTGGAAAAATAGGATTTGATGGTAATTTTTTATTCCTCTTATAGTTTTGTGCAGGGAAAAATTAAACTGAGCAAATAAAAGAATACTTATTTATATATATATTATTATCCCTCCCGATGTAGCGGTTTAAATTAGTATTTCTAATTATGTTTTTTTTTTTTTTTTTTTTTTTTTTTTTTTTTTTTTTTGATAAAGGAGAGGACACATCCAAATATGGACACACCGATTTCAAGAGTTGTGTGCTAGGTCACTAGAAAATGACTAGTTGTGTGTTCTTGATTTATTGGATTCCGAAAACTAATGATGATAAAACTAAGATGAAGTTTCCATGCATTAACATAAGGGGTTTATTAGTAGGAAAACAATACCCGTCGGCTTCTTTCTCGACTTCCCAACCACCGAGTGCTCCAACCTCTGTCATTGCCTCCCTCCATTCTGTAACATTTTTTTCATCGAAATGGCTCTCATGCTCACGGAAGGCATCCTCGTAAGTTCTCCCTGCATCACTATTCCCAGATTGATGCCGAACCACAGATGGTTCGACGTCATAGAAGACGGGCAGAATCAATTGTCCCTTGCACTTCACCATCTGAGCAAGTTCACGGAGGCACCATTTACTGGAAGCATAACCCTTGGTGAATATTGGGATGGAGATTCTGGACTTTGTGATTGCTTTGAGGAGTTCAGGGCTGAACTCTACTCCTTTGCGAAGCTCGTTATTGTCACGAAAGGTGTGAACTCCTGCGCGGACAAGATTAATGTATAGGTGATCGTTGAAGGTGAGGCGAATGTCGGGGCCTCTGAAACTCAAGAAGACATCATATTCGCCTCCTGAAGCTGTGAGGTTCGTTTTGTGGTCCATATTTATCACCTAAAGCAACTCTATGGAGAGAGAGAGTTTGTTCAAAGAATTAGTCAAGAAAGAAAAGTTAGTAAAAGCCAACTAAAGAGAAGAAAGAGATCCTGTAAGTCTGCAACATCTTAAGATTCATATATTACAAGATTATTCAAGTCTTTTCAATAAATAAAAACGTGAAAAATAAGAAAAATGTGATCAAAATGGACCTACTAATTATTCAAACTCCGTTTGAGATACAGTTGTACTCTGTCCTTTCCGCTAGATCAACTGGTAACGATGCTGGGCAGCTAAGGGTCTGTTTGATTCGCCTCCTACAAGAGATGTGGATGAAGATTAGAGAGCACTAGAGCAGTATCAATGATCGAGTTTGGGCATTGGATCTGCTAATTTATGGAAAGTGATAATCATATTTTGGTTTATTCACCAGTGGTCAAGCTTTGATTGGGAATTGGAAGTGATTTCCAGCTACTTTAAGGGATAAGCATTGACCCAGCATCACCTACTCTATATTACTTATTGTGTTTCAAATTTATGGTGTTTGGAGAATCTAACTTTGAATTGGTTCGAGATTACTTTTTAACTACAAAAGGTTTTTATTTTAAAAAATTGCATTTAGGCTGTTGGCAGCATGACTCTTTGAATAGAAAATAATGGAGAACTAAAAAAAAAAAAATTTGGTTTAATTTTTTTAGTTACTTTTCTCCAATTTTAAAGCTCCAATTTCATATTTGCCCAACATAGTCTTATTGTGTTTGGTAACCAATAAAAGTTCTTTCAACCGTTACCAATTTTAACTCGTCTGAACTTTTGAATGAAGTTGAAGCTTATAAAATAGGATTTGTGTAGAGGTGGTATATTTTAGGTAATTTTTTTTTTATTTTTATTTTTTGTTCTTTTTATTTTTATAAAGACAATTTTAGTCATTTTTTATAAAATTGCTATTATCAAATATAATATAATAATATTATATTAAAAGTTATTATTGTAAAATTAGCAATACAAGTGTTTACAAACAAGACATTTATTTTGTGACATCCAAAACTAGAAAGATAGACATTTTTTTTGGAAAAATTATATTTTGGTGACCAAAATTAAACATAATTTGTGTAAAGTGACCATAAAGTCAAGAAAAGATGAATAGTCACCAAACCTAAAACTTAATTACTAATAAGTGACTATTTGATGGTTTATTACTTAAATGACCTTCTTATAATCTATTATTATGTAAGTGGACAAATTTATCATGTACATTAAACTAAATAAACACTTACTTAAATTGACAAACAAAGAGACGACACATTATCGGGGTGATGGGAGAGAACTGAGGATGGGATAAGAAAATTGTAGTTATAGTTATTATATTTTGCAAGTTGATTTGTTTGATAAATCTTCCTTAAAATAAAAGATAGTAATTTTTAGGAAAATTTTAATACATAGTTATTATACTTTACAAGTTGATTTGTTTGAGAGATCTTCCTTAAGATATAAGATTGCATGTAATTTTAGGAATTTTTTAATACTACTGAGTTATAGTTTAAGAAATAATGACCGTTGCTGATTAATTTCATAATTTTGCCAACTTTTAATGGGTTGTATTGGATGGCAATTTTGTAATCTAAAATTTATTTTTAAAATGTTTATCAAACCATGTTTTTGACCAAATTATCCTTAAATGGTCACTTAATATCAATCAAGTTTCAACATTGGTCATTACGCATTTTTTCTTAATTAACTAAACATAGAGAAAAAACAAAAACTACATACTGCCCTATTAATTGATAAAATTTCATAAGTAATCGAGTTAAAGTTATGAAAATAAAGATAAAAAAAGTTTAGAATATTAATGTTGGATTTGGTGTTGAAAAAAGAGTTGCTTTGCTGTGAAGAGAGAGATGAAGATAGATGATCGTGTTGTAAAAGGAAAGAGAAAAAAAAAAGAAAAAAGAAAAGAAAGAAAGAAGGGTTTAACCCGTAAAAAATGAATAATACCCATCTTTTATTTTAATTTTTTAAACACATGTTTCAATGACATTGGACCACAGATCATCCTCCTAGATGAAGGATCCAAGCATTGTCCATAATATGTCATCAATCACCAACAATAATTTTTTGATTATTCTAGTGACAAAAAATTTTTATTTTTATTTTTAGATTCTAATAACAAGACCAAATTGTCTTTATTTTTTTATTATTATAGCGAGTTTTTAATACTTTTTATTATATTAATAAGAGTGAATTTTAAAATTTATTTTATTATTGTAAAATATAAAGAAGTATTTGTAATTAGTGCAACTATTTAATTAAGTCAATATCAAAAGAATAATGTGAAAATGTTATAAAAAATAGCATAATTATTTTTGAAATTGGAAGGAAGGGGTAGTCTAATCAAATTTAATGTATTAGCCGGCAAATAATTGTTTTGAACCAACTCATAAATGAATACACTGGAGGACCCACCATGATGCAAAGAACCATATAATGCAAAAGATTGTGAGGCAATGGGGGTTGTTGGGACCGAGATCTCATTTCCCATTTTAATCTCTATATCTAATCTCTATTTTTGTTTATTTTTTTTACTCCTATAATCATCTTAAAGTTTGTTGGCTTTTTTAAAACAATTCTATTTCCATTCTCATTTACATAATTGATTCTCTAAAATTATCTCAAGCGGGGCGGGCCCCCACTGAAATGGGAATTTTTGCCATCCTAATTTGAACAACCTTAAAGGGATGGCAATAGGGTAGCTAGGACGGAAATCTCATTCCCCATTCCAATTTCTATCTCATTTTAGTGCCAAAATTATTTATATAAAACAATTATTTATACAACCATACATAAACAGAGGATGAAAAAAAACTTGAAAACATCACCTTAAATTATTTCTATACAGAGGATGAAAAAAAAAATTTATTTCTATACAACAAAAGTAAAAGTTCTTCACCTTTTATTTTTTATTTATTTTTTCTTTCTTTTTCCAATATATATATATTGTGTGAGAACTGCTTATAACAGTTTTCACTATTATTAGCCCAAATATAATCGAAACTTAATATGGGGCTGGATTAATAAATAATAAAAGAAACTTGGATGTTAACGGGGAAGATGATACTCAATTTCTTGACACTTCGTATCAATGTGTATTAACAGTTAAATTACTGAACTTTTTTGCGGCAAATTTATGTAAATTCTCCAAATATATAGCACTGGTTTATTTGGGAACGGTTGATTCCATGGTGCAAACAACCTTTGTTTCTACAAAGGATACTTCATCTTCTCAATAACTCTCTCTCCCTCAACTCCCACTTCCCTCCCATCACTACTCTTTCAATCCAACTATGAATTTTTTTATTTTTTATTTGGATCTTCTCTTTCACTCAGCGTGTTCTAATTCCTTCTCCAACAACTTTAAATTGAACAACACCTGTGTCCTATTAAATTTGAGTTGGGTGTGGTCCCAATAAATTTTTTGCATTCAAAGGAAGTCAAATCTTATACATGATGCTTTATGAGGCACCAAGTTCAAGTAAATTATCACACGAGTCAACTTTTGGAGTTCACCAATCCCTTCAATTAAATTACCACACGAGTCAACTCTTAGAGTTCACCAATCCCCTTTTACTAGGTCGTAATCCTTAATATTGGCAATAATAAAGTGAAAATTACATTTTCATCTCATATTGGAGAAAGTCTTAAATGCTTCGACATAGTATCACTTATTAATTAAAGGGTTAAGCGCAAAAAACTCCCTTGCTATACAAAAAATGTGCAAGAAACACCCCAGTAAAAATTAAGTACATATAAATCCTTGTATTATTAACATTTTGAACAAATTACCTCCTAATCATCAATTTTGACCCTTTTTTACAATAAGATAAATGTTGTGTTGATTTTTGCATCATCTCAATTTGCTTCAGTTTTCGCCTATGACCATGGAGACTGAGATGCACAAGCGCAATTGTCCCCACTTGGTTGGTTGTTCATCTATGTTATCTTGATTAGGCCACGAAGACCATTTTGATACTTCGTAACAGCATTTACATTCCAAAAATCAAAAAATTTAAATTACATGAACATGTTATATATATATATATATATATCCCTGCAACAAGCCCTACTCCAATATGTTTGCGCTTGTTCCTAGCTTTTTGGTCATGTTCTGAACAACAAATTGCTAGAGAGATTTTAACCCAAAAAAAAATTGTTAGAGAGAAAAATAAAGATTTTGCTTCTAAAACGAGAGTAACTATGGGTTAATTGCATTTTTGTTACCGGCACCATAGAGAGAGAAGGAAAGATTTTTAGAGAAAGATATTGATAACGGTATGAATTCATGATATATATGACAAAATCAATAAATATATGGAAGTTGTTGCGAAAAAAAAGATAGAAAGAACAAATATGAAAGTTGCCGTAAAGAGAGAGACCTTTAAAAAAAAAATGTCATTATGATTTTTATTGTTATATATTTTTAAAAATTTGTTATTGGGGTATTTTAGACATTTCAATGATTAAATTGACTTAATATCTTTATTTGCAAAAATTATAAAATGTAGGGAAACTTTTCGAATAACAGATGATTAATTGCACATTTTACTTATTATGAATAATTTTTTTGCACGTAATCCTTAATTAAACCTCAATTTAAGGTTTGTTTATTCACAAGTGGCTGCGCTTTGATTGGTAATAGGAAGCTTCGTTTGGTGGATGAGCATTGACCCCAGCATCACCAATTATTATAATCAAATCAATTATTATAATCAAATCAATGTATTAGCCTGCAAATAATTGTTCTAAACAAATTAATAAATGAATAGACTTGAGAACCCACCATGATGAACAAAATCATATACTGTAGAGACAGTGACTTAAGAAAAGCTTCAAATTGATATTCTTTCGATACTATTTCATTTAGATGTTATATAAAATAATGATTTATTAGTGAATTCAAGGATGAATAATAAATTTAATCACGTCAATATTAAAAATTGATTACTTGTCCATGAAATTGAAATTAAGGAGTGACATGAGGTTTGTTTATTCACAAGTGGGCCATGCTTTGATGGGTAATAGGAGAGTGATTTGTGGCTTCATTATGGTATGAGCATTGACGCAGCATCACGTACTCTACCAAAAAAATATAATAAAATCAAACTCACATGCGAATACACTCCAGGATGAGGTGTGGTGGCCCCACCCTATTGATCATAGGTTGATAATATATATATATTTTATTTTTATATAAAAATTTTTCACTTTTTAATTTTATGTTTTTTATCTATTTTTTTGGTGAGAAGTGCTTATCACCATTCTCGTCATTATTAGTCCAAATCTATATTCAAAACAGGTAATTTATTATGGATGGAAGAATAAATGATAAAAGAATTTTGAATATTAACAGGGAAGATGATATTTAATTTTTAATCATTTTATATTACAGTATTTGAGAACTCTGACCTTTACAGTTGAATTACTGAACTTCTTTACAAATTTCTATAAATTCTTCAAATAGCACTCCTTTAATACTTTCAATTCACTTCAGTCTAACTTTTAGCTCATTTATATTTGGTACCCCAACAATCATCAGACAAACCAATACAAAATAAAAGTAGAGAGTAAAGTTAAGCAGATTGTATTAAAGCCACAATTTGAAGAAATAAACCATAAGGTGACTTTTGATTTCTTAAATAATTGAACCGCCGAATACGTGTGTTTGGCAGATGCAGTAGTTCTTTTAGTGGTATATGTGTACCCTATTACATTCAGTAACTCTATTCCCCTACAGTATCGTCACCGCAGTAGAGTTTAACCACCAAGTTCGGGATGGATTGGTGTGGTTCCTCTACGCCTAGGACGGGACACATGCTTCGAATTTGACCAATTGGGATATCTGGAAACAATATTTTTTTTTATTATTTCTTCATTCTAAATTCGAAGTGGATTCTGATTCTATTTCTGTATTCTCTCTAGATTCAAGGACTAACCACGGAATCACAAATAAAAAACAGTGAATAGATTCATAGGTTCGATACCTTGTAATAGAACTCATGCTTGATAGAAATATTAGATCACATAGAGTCGACGAATGAGATGGATTGTCTTTTTCATTCGGCAATGAATATATTTCATAATCTTTTTGTTTTTTGTAATGAATTAGTTGGTCTTTTTCATATGGTTTTCAATTTCACGTAATTTTCACGCAATTAACAAATTTGACAGATTAGGTAATTTTATCAATGCTATGTAATATTCCAATGATGTCAATTTGTTTAAAGCTTTATCCAGTGAGGAAAAGTTACAACTATCGTTTTTGACTTCTTCAAGTTTGTTTGACCGATGTGTTTTTGTCAAAGGTATTTGTACTTACCCATCTCCTAAAGATGCCAATAACCAAATTTATTTCATAATAAATAATAATAATAATAATAATTTTATTTATTTATTTATTTTGCAACATACACAATTTCATAGCCAATAGTCTCCATTTCTCTATAATTTGTCTTTGTAGCTAAACCTGTTATTTATTGGTACAAACAATGTTTTTTTTTTTTTTTTTTTTTTTTTTTTTTTTTTTTTGTGTGGTAAAAACTAAAGTAAACATCCAATATTCATCCCCATAATGATAGTGTCATGACCGGAGGTGGACTCAGGAAATTACATTTCGGGAGGCCAAAAATGATAAACAGTAGAGAGAGGAATACATGCACTCTGATTCTTTGCATTACTTAATTTACAATGGGTTTTTTAGTTTGTATATTAGTACTACATAATGGGCCTTTACTACACACAAACTTGGCCCACTTAGAATTTTCTTTATCAATGTCTACGTAAAAAAAATTAGTAAATTCCCATTATGTGTTAGCAGTAGATTTTTTAAAAATTCCATGGCACCCCTTGATCCGAGAAAAACTTGATTAAGGTGGGTGGTGCACTTTACTCACAATAGTGGTGGGATTCGCGAATGACACAACTCTTCTTGGTTTAAGAATAACTTGGATTGAGCCGGCGGTGTCTGGTGCATTTTACTCACAGTAGTAGTGGGACCCACGAATGGGTAAAGACTCGAAATATACAGGATTTTTAGTTGTTGACAACCCTGTTTGCTACTAAGTACTTGATACAGTACATCGGAAGAAAAAATAATAATAAAAAAAAAGTAAATGCCGATGATAAAAATATTGTACTGAGCTCGTGAACCTGACAATATCAACCACCATTTTGTGTTCCATATTTATCACCTAAAGCAACTCAATGGAGAGAGAGAATTTACTCAAATAATTAGTCAAGAAAGAAAAGTTAGTAAAAGCCAACTAAAGAGAAAAAATAAATATTCAAGTCTTTTCAATAAATAAAAACGTGAAAAATAAGAAAAATGTGATAAAAAAGGACCTACTAATTATTTAAACTACCTTTGAGATACAAGTTTACTCATACTATCTTTGAGATACAAGTATACTCTGTCTAACGTACTCTTAACCATTAGAATACGATAAAATAAACACAATAGTTTATAAATTAAAACAAATTTAAAATATATGACATATTCCAACCAATTTATATTATTTAATAAATCGAATCATTGAAATGCAGACCATCTTTATTAACATGAAACATTGTTGACGTTACTCTACACCAAAGTGTATGTTTAATAATTTACTAATACTGTTATTATTATTTTATATATATATAAAAAGTTAACTAATAAAAACAAATCACAAACTTATTCTCCAAGTACTAATAAAATGAAACATTTAATTACAAGTTTCACTACCAAACCCATCTACAATAATTACATATAATGCAAAAGATTTTCTCTTGCTTATTTCCCTATCCAAAATTCAAAAATCGAGACTCGCCAATGGCATACTGTCTATTCTAGCTATTCTTTCCATTCATCTTTTCATTTTCTTTTAGAGATATAGATGCGTTCTTTTTTAATGTTCCTACTTTCTGCTTTGTTTGAAATAACTGACTTAATCGCTGTCTTCTAGAATTTCCTTTTAACCTATTTGAATTTTTTTTTTCTTCCGGAAATTAACCTATTCGATATTCTTTCTTCACTACCTTGTCCGTGTTTTGAGTACCTGTTTCAATCCTACTTGTTATATCATCATATATCTTCCTGCTTTTTCTATACATATGATCCTAGATATTGAAACTTATTTTATGTTATCAGTCTTGTATTTATCCAAGTTTTCATGGGTTTCCCTAAGTGTATTGAATTATGTCACTAGCATATAACGTGCATCATGAAATGTCTATCTTTCGTTATTTCAAATAGACTGATTTGGGGGCGTAGTATTTATTAAACAATCATTAGTTTCTTCTCATGTAATATCAACTCCTGTCCCTCTACTCCACACGCACAAACTCTAGTTCTTATATCATTATGCGTATCCTTAGATATATTTGGTAAAACTAACTGGCATGTCTTTTTCTTTGTCAGGCCACCAAAGTTCATCTCTTGGCTATCATTTGTATTTATTGTTGCCGAATCCTAATTTAATGCGTAACATCATCATCTTTGCCCTTTATAAACGAAATCTCATCAACATCTTCTTCTTCTTCTTCTTCTTTATCATCATCTTTATCATTGCCTTTATCCCATATAAATGGAGTTAGCCACATGAATTCTCTTTCTGTATTCTTTTCTATTACGAGTTGTCTCCCTTTTTTATTTTTATTTTTGTAAGGTCATTTCTAATTACTTCATCCCACGTCGTGAGTTTTGGTTTCCCTCGTGTCTTACTTTCTATGCAAACAAATCTATTCCATAGGTTTTCCTTGCATATAGCCATACCACCTAAGTATACTTTATCAATAATAGGTGTCACTTCTTCTCTCACATGATTATTAATTCTATATTTTCTAGTCAATCTTATCATCCATCTTAACATTCTCATTTTAGGCATGTCAATGCATTGTTCCTGTTTCTTCTTAAACATTCTCGTTTCAAGTATGTGAATGCATTGTTCTTGTTTCTTTTTTAACGCCAAAAATGTCACTACATATGAAATAGTTGGCTTAATAACTGTCCTATAAGATTTAAACATGACGCCTGTAAATAGAATTTGTGCTTTTGCGAGAAAGCATGTCTCACATGGAGGTGAAGATACTGGGGATACATTCACCTTGTGGAAGGTGTATTTGGTCCTCAAATTTTTACCAAGTAATGGTGTGCGGTTTATTGTTTGAAAACTTGTGGATGTAAACATGAAGCCTGGTGTTCTCTTACAGTGAGCATTTAGACAAGTAGCTTTACATATCTAATATTAGCATGTAAAAAGTTGTAGAAAATGACTTTAAAGTTGCATCTGAATTCTTTATTATCCCTATTTCTTTTATTTTTGTTCTATTTTTATTTTCCTTTTCCTTATTTTTCTTTCCATTCTGCTTTTCTGACTATTGCTCAGGCAATGAGTGATCGATCAGGGGTGTGTAGTGTTCAAGCAGCCTATTTTCATGCTCTTCCAGACTGGGCCCTTAGCTGCCTCCACTTCTAGATGAGTTTGGAGACATATATGTCCCTTATTGGCAGGAAACTGGAGCAATGATATTATCAACTAATCCCTCGTCTCTGTTTCATGTGGGTTTCAAGATTCATAAGCTGACGATGCTGAACGCTGGGTTGTGGCAGGAGATTGTATTTTTATAGATAGCTGACGCTTGAATAGGCTAATTAGAGGATTGGTATGGAAAAAAGCACATCAAGTTATAGATAGTCATTTTTTATTTTTTTGGGTTGAAAAGTCAAGTTATTGGTGGTAGTTTAGGTAATGGAATAGGTTCAGCGGATGTATTGCATGAAGTATTAATATCAATGGCCTAATCTTACATGTTGTCTTGTGGAAAAGTTTGGACGGTCTAGCTGGAAATAAAATATATTCTTCATTGGTATTCTCTTTATGGATTGTTTATAGTGACTTGTGTAATAAATCGTCGTTAGAAAGAAAACATTACATTGGGCTCTTTAAATACAAGATAGATATAGAGTGAATGAATGAGCTAAAAAGCCACGTGCATGGCAAGATTAGATGTTCTGATAGATGTATTGGATTGAATATATACCCTTCACAAACTTAGCAGATCTGACTATTTCAGAATATACTCGGCCTTTTGCTTTAATGAATGAACTGAACCTGACGCAAATGTACGAATTTAATTAAACAAAAAGTGATCCATCAAACCTCTCTCTAACTACAATAGTAATTATTATTATTATTTTTTTTTTTGTACAACTGATCACAAATATCTAAAAATTATTCTTCACAACCCTTTTGACAAGCTTGTAGCCATCCCTGTTTCCATAATGTAAACTACCATTTCTTTCATAATGCTTGTGGATTCATCTTATAGCTCTTTTTGTATTTCCTCACTTGTCTGGAGATATGATAAAAGTGAAGTTACAAATTAGATTTAAGTTGAGCAAAAAAGGAACATGGATGAACAGTGCAAATTAGTAATTAAACCTGGTTCAGACTCCGTTAATCTCTGATCTGCAATACAAGAAAGAAGCTCAGCTTAAACACCTCTATATAGGTATGGAAGCAAAGCCATTATACTATATGAACAGGGACAGACCAATAGAGTACTGAAAACAATGAGGTGGAGACGACAAGAAACAAACAGCTCACAATAGCCCACCAGCTAGAATAATATACATATTGTCATTCACTTACCTCTATGTATTGTTTCCGGACCTCATAGCTGTTCCTTTTGGGGATCTTCCAGAGGCCTAATATTATTCATTGTTCACTCTAAATATGTCAGCGTAAGGATAAGTATGTTCATAATAATGATCATATTCTACATCATAATGATCAGAAATCGTCTGAATGTGTGTGTGTGGTAAATGCGGTATTTTTTTCAGTGATGAGCTCCCCCTGATGTCCAGTTCCTCCAAGTCTTCCAAAGCCTCAAGGCCCTCAATCTCATGTAAGCTTGTGCATTCTCAGAGCCGCAAGCGTCTCAACATTTTCAAGTTTGATAGATTAGGCATTCTTACCATGGATGAGCAATACGACAAATTCAAATATTCCAATGATACCAATATATGTAGTCCTTCGATCTTATTGAGATTCTTGCAACTAACAACTTCAATTTTTGTTAACTTGTTTAAGTTGGACCGATCTGGTTTATTTTCAGGGTGTCTGTACCCACTCATCTCTGAGGATGCTAGATGTGCCGAACATTCGAGCAGATCAAGTTCAGCTATGTTAAAGCACCAACCCATATAAAAACTTGCCAGCGATACTAGATTTCCAAGTCCTTGTATCTCTTTCAGCTCAATGCACTGATCTATTTCCAAACTTTCAAGCAATTCTAGATTTCCAAGTCCTTCAATCTCTATCAGTTCAATGCATTTTTCTATTCTCAAACTCGTCAATGACTGTAGTTTCCCAAGCCCTTGAATCTTTGTCAGCTTAACGCACTCATAAAGTCGCAATTCCGACAAGAGCTTCAAATTTGACAGAGCCGATAACATTTCCAATGACAGACCACAACGAATATTTAATCGAACCAGATTGGGAGGTAAACCCAATATACATTGAAGTTTAACGCATTTTTCTAGAGAGAGAAATTTGAGCCGAGAAAGGGCATCAATCTCTTTCGGTAGGGTCATAATGTTGCTACATTCAACGTCCAACCTATGCAATTTGTATAATTTAACAATATCACTAAAAATTATCTGCTTCATCTTGTCAGGAATCTGATAACACTGCAATTCCTGCAGATTAACCAAATTTGCAAGATTAGGGGTAACATGCAATCTCCCCAAGTGTACACGCAGAACTTGTAAACTTGAGGGAAGCTCTGGCAGCGCTTCAACATAATAGCAGCTTCCTAAGCCAAGGGTATGAATGCTTGTTGGTAGGCTTCGAATTCCTGTAGAATAAAAGCTTCTTAAAGTATCTCAAACATGATAATCTCCCAATGCAACTTGGAATGTTACCTGTCAATTCAGAATAATGTGCATCTATAATTTCCAGCTTCTTTAACATCCTAATTTCATCAGGTAGCTCCCGTATTTGAGTGAATGAAATGTCAAGCACTTTTAAATTACTTGCCATCTGTTTGCAAGATACATAAAAATATAGAAACAATCATACATATGCTCCAATATGTACGTATGTATGTAATATGAGACGAGAAATGAATTGAGATTATGAGATTTTAAAATATATGTAGTACATACCTTAATTTGACTCCAACCCTTCCAGTTCTCTGGGATCGTACTACCTCTTAGATCAAGTATGACTAGTTTCTTCATATGAAAATTGGTTGCCTCAAAATCCAGAGGGGAATATCGCCAACGAAGCCATCTTAAGTTTAACAAGCGATGCTTGAAATCCCCAACAACAAGTTTAGCTTTATCTATTTGGAGATACCGCAGTTTAGATCGTTCCGCGAATTTGTCATGCTCACACGTCGCAACATCAAGATTTAAGAGTTGAACCTTTTCAGTTATCTGTTAATGAAAAAAACCATAAAAATAAGTAAACATAAAAGAAATGATTTGCCATGTGCTAAAAAAGGAATTATTAATATTAGATATCAATTGTTATTCTTATTTTTTAAGAAAATACCCATTCTTAATGACTTCTCAAAAACAACAACAAGAGTTATTGGTGTTTACAGATAATTTTTGCTTTTATATATAAAAAATAAATAAATAAATAAAAATGAAGCAACTAAAATTTAGTTATTTTAATCTCCAAAATTTTTTTTTTAAAAAAAGGTCATTTTTTTTTAGTTAAGATTGGGTTAGATTCAGGTTGGTTGATTTAAACATTCATAACTCCTTTTTTCTTTTTCTTCTTCTTCAAATTCTTCTTCATTTTTTATTTTTATTCTTTTTCATTTATAACAACTCTAAATAACTTGAAATAATTGAACGATCATGCCTAACATTGTAGCCTACAACTTAATTACAAACGCTACACCAATCTAAATGTACAACATACCTACTTTCCGTTGAAACCAGGTGTACTACTAACAAGAACATCTAAAATTCTTTTCTTAATGAGATGAGTTAAAAATTTTGAATTTTTTTTTATTAGGTAAATACTTACCTCACAACTCTAAATAACTTAAATTTAGTTCCATTTTCAATTTAAACCGAGTTGACAGTTGTCCAAGCCCATCATAGATGATGCTGGCAAATTCAGGTTGGTCAACATCTTAGCTCCCTAATTGGAACCTATGTGGATGCTACCATGAATATTATTTAGAGCGTGTGTATTATGTTCTGACACGAAAGAGACTTAAGAAAACATTAATCAATGCAAAAAATTTAGTGTGGTTAATTTTTACCATGCATTCCTCAAATACGTCCGAGGCTTCTTGTCCATCCCACAACCTGCTGCGTAGTTTTGGATTCTCCAAATCTTCTTGACGGACGATTTCTCTACCAAGATCTCTTAGTTGATCATGCATTCTCAATACTTTATCATTTTCAAGTTTTACCATAGACATGAGACAAAGGACATTAATTGTTGTCTCTGGAAAATAACCACAGTCATCCCACATGTAAAATAGATATAGTTTATCCACCCCAATAAAAAAAACATGCAATATCAAGAAATATCTGTTTTTGCTCGTGGGTTAATACATCATAACTTACTCTCAATATTTCTAGAACTTTATGATCTGGTATTTTCTCCAACTTCTTCAATGTATCTTCCCATACTGTTTTTGGCTTGTCAGATAGAAATGAACCTATAACCTCAAGAGCTAGAGGAAGCCCTGCAGTAACTGATGCCACCTTTCTAGAGATACTACGAAAGTCTATTGGAGGTAACTTTTTCCGAAAAGCATGAATGCTGAGAAGTTGAAGAGATTGGTCAAGGGTCATAGAAGGAGGTTCGTAAGTCTCATTCACTTCAAGAATATTTAGAACATGCTTGTTTCTAGTTGTAACTATGATCCTAGTTCCTGAACCAAACCAATCACGATTTCCCACAAGCCAATCAAATTGAGACTTTTCATCGACATCATCAAGAACAATGAAAACTTTCTTATTGAAAAATCGACGTCTGATAGCGTCGATTCCATCGTTAACATTAGTAATGCGAGGGGGCGGTTTAAGAGTGTCATTGAGAAGCTGGTTCTGCAAATCAACAATACCTTTATCTTTGTATTGTTTGACATTTTCCCGAACATCTGCAAGGAAGCTACAACAATTTTTAAAGTCTCCGAGGAGCTTGTTGTAGATGGACTTGGCAACAGTTGTCTTGCCAATACCACCCATGCCATGGATACCAACAATCCTTACATCATTTAAACCAACATTTAATAATCTCATCATTTCATTCAGATGATCATCCATCATAACTAAGTTGTCAATTGTAACCATGTATTTCTTCTTCAGGTTTAACGACACTGTTTGAACAATGGTTTTTACTAATTCCCCTTGATGCCTGATTTATGTCAAGATGAAAATGAAAAATAATTAGTGACCGACATTTATCATATTGTTTTTCTTCTTATAATTTTGTGTGTGTCCCTCTAATTTGATAGTATTAAAATGGTTTATCATTTATTGGATTCCAATGCTATTATAAAGTTCCTATATATATATATGCAAAGAATTTAACATAAGGGGGTTAGTAGCAGGAAGGGATTAACATACCCATCAGCTTCTTTGTTGACTCGCCAACCCTTGAGTTCTCCAACCTCTTTGAGTGCCTCTTTCCATTTCATAACAGTGCATCCATCAAAACACGTCCCGTGCTTGCGAAAGGCTTCCTCGTAACTCCCAGATTGATGCCTCACATCCGATGGTTCAACATCATAGAAGATTGGCAGAATCAATTGTCCAGTGCTTCTCTTGCAATCCACCATCTGAGCCAGCTCGCGGAGGCACCATTTACTGGAAGCATAGTTCTTGGAGAAGATCGGGATGGAGATACTGGACTCCCTTGTTGCTTCGAGGAACTCAGGGCCGATCTCTTCTCCTTTGCGAAGCTCATTGTCATCCCGAAAGGTGCGAACACCTGCGTCATTGAGATTGGTATATAGAAAATCGGTGAATGTGCGGCGACTGTCTGGCCCTCTAAAACTCAAAAACACTTCGGATTCGCCTCCTGGAACAGGAAGGGACGTGGCTGAAGAGCGCAAAGCAATACTTGGACCTGCAGCCTCACCGTCCATTTCAGATATAATTGTCTTCTGTGTTTTCTGGTCGATCGATCAGAAACAATATTATGGAAGACAAATCTTGTACGAGTATTACCAACCCCCTATGATACCAAACTCAAATCTCTCTAGCTCACGTGTTTGGCCTTTGGATCTGCAAATTGAGACATTCAAACACCCAAATTATATTTGCAAATCACTCTCTCTCTCTCTCTCTCTCTCGATCGATGATGATTGGGAAATGGATCTGCAAATTCTCTATCTGGAATTGGAAAATTATAGGCTCAACACAACCCATACACCCAAATTAACTTTCCCAGTCAAGTCAACAGGAAAAATGGGACAACATACCTTTCGGCTAAAGAGGCAGCTTTTTCCAAGCACTCACATATTAAGAAACTTCATAGAAATTTCCAACGTCAAGAAATTTCCCCATTTCAAGATACAAACATACCTCATGAGTAGGTTGGCAACGAGTTTGAGTTAGGTTGAAAATAAACAAGTTAATATAGGTCAAGATTTATATTTAACGTATTTAGAACAGATTGAGAGTGCACGGATTAAAAGTGGACATATTAATCCGTTATAATTCGTAAACTCATTAATTATTATTATTTATTATTTATTAAATAATAAAAACAATATTATGGAAGATAAATCTTGTACGAGTATTACCAACCCACTATGATACCAAACTCAAATCTAGCTAGCTCGATCACTTCGGTGTTTGGCCTTTGGATCTGCAAATTTGTCATTCGAACACCCAATTTATATTTGGATCTGCAAATTTGTCATTCAAACACCCAATTAACTTTCCCAGTCAACTTTAACTAAAAAAAAAATAAATAACTTTTCCAGTCAAGTCAACAGGAAAAAGGGACAACACATCTTTCGGCTAAAGAGGCAGCTTTTTCCAAGCACTCGCAGATTAAGAAACTTCATAGAAATTCAACATCAAGAAATTTCCTCACTATTTCAAGACACAACGCTCCTCATAAGTCATACTTGTGTTCAACATCTAGGAAAACTTACATACATATAAAAGCAATAATGTTCGACTCAAATTATAAAATACTGGCGCCAGCAGAATCCATATTACAAAAACACGAACTTTAGTTTCAGAAAAATTGTGACTACATCCCAACTTCAAATAAATTTGTGATCAGGAAAAGAGATGCCAAATGAATACCGTGTGTCTAACGTACTCTTAACCATAAGAATACGGTGAATTAAACACAATAATTTTAATTAATTTATACAGTAAGTCAAATCAATTATAAATTAAAACAAATTTAAAATATATGGCACATCCCAACCAATTTATATTATTTAATAAATCGAATAATTGAAATGCTGACCATCTTTATTAACATCGAACATTGGTGACGCTACTCTATATTAGAGTGCATGTTTAATAGTATACTATTAAAAACAAAGTACAAACTTATTCTCCAAGTACTAATAAAATTTCATTACAAGTTTCACTACCAAACCCATCTACAATAATTACATATAATACAATAATTACATATAAACTAAAATAATGATTGATGTGTTCTACCTTAAGGATGAGTAGTTGACTCATTAAACCAACATTTATCATATTGTTTTTGTTCTTATAATTTTGTGTTTGTCCCTCTAATTTGATAGTATTAAAATGGTTTATCATTTATTGGATTCCAATGCTAATATAAAGTTCCTATATATATATACAAAGAATTTAACATAAGGGGGTTATTAGCAGAAGGGATTAACATACCCATCAGCTTCTTTGTTGACTTGCCAACCCTTGACTTCTCCAACCTCTTTGAGTGCCTCTTTCCATTTCATAACAGTGCATCCATCAAAACACCTCTCATGCTTGCGAAAGGCTTCCTCGTAACTCCCAGATTGATGCCTCACATCCGATGGTTCAACATCATAGAAGATTGGCAAAATCAATTGTCCATTGCTTCCCTTGCAATCCACCATCTGAGCCAGCTCACGGAGGCACCATTTACTGGAAGCATAGTTCTTGGAGAAGATTGGGATGGAGATACTGGACTCCCTGATTGCTTCGAGGAGCTTAGGGTCGATCTCTTCTCCTTCGCGAAGCTCATTGTCATCCCGAAAGGTGTGAACATCTGCGTCGTTGAGATAGGTATATAGAAAATCTGTGAATGTGCGGCGACTGTCTGGCCCTCTAAAACTCAAAAACACTTCGTATTCGCCTCCTAGAACCGGAAGGGAGGTGGCTGAAGCATCAGACTCCATTTCAGATATAATCCTCCTCCTCCTCCTCTTACTTGGACCACTGTCCAATTTAGATAAAATCTCCTGTGTCTTTTGTTTGCTCGATCGATCAGAAACAATATTGTGCAAGATAAATCTTGTATGAGCTAGTATTACCAACCCCTATGATACGAAGCTCAAATCTCTCTAGCTCACTTCAGTGTTTGGCCTTTGGATCTGCAAATTGAGAAATTCAAGCCTCTCTCTATGATGTTTGGGTAATAGTATTGGAAATGTGCAAGATTTAAAAACTTTTTCGAGGGATTTTCATTCACAGATCTTGATTCATCACATAGAGACAAGTTTTATGCAAAAATAAAATATGATGTATCATTCAATTAAAAGATTAAATACTTACATCAAAGGTTTGAGTAAACCTTAGATCTCTTCTCTAAAGTGAATGTTCTCACTTATTGTAGATCCCTTTGCTAGATGCATTCTCCTTCGATCTCCATCTTCTTGGTACTTGTTTTATCTTTAGGAATCACTCATAAGCCTCCATGAATGACCTTGGAAAACTAGGCTTGTGAGAGTTTCCATTAGATGAGAATACTAACCCTAATTTTCTAGAGAGAGAAAATATATTCATTTTTCCTTCTTCCAAAAATCCCCCTAAAATATACATAGACCATGTATATTTATAGGCAACATAAAGATAAAGAAAAGGAAACAATAATCCTTTTCAATCTCTAATTCACATGTCTCAAATCTAATAGGATTCCAATATCAAGTTGGGCTATGAGTGAGAATCCTTTGGGCTTATTATTTTATTGGCTACAATGAATTAATAATTGGCCCGGTCCATGGACCCAATTCAATTAATTCATAAATTAATTTGTACTCCACTAAAAGAAATTAATTGAACTATAATTAAATAATAAATAACCTCTAAGTCAATGTTGCACTTTGACCCCTCTATACATAATTAGTTGTCGGATAAATAAAGCCATCAATCCGACTACTTAATTAATATATTTATTTTGGTACCATTGATTATTTCTGGTTCGATCACAATAAAACATTTGTTTGACAAAAAATAATAATTTAAATATATAATAAATCATTTTGTCTAAAAACGCACGAAGGTCTTCGAATTTACTTTGTGATCAACCATAATCAATACAAAATAAATACAAGTAGCAATGATGCAAATACTGAAAATATAACCCTCTAACTATTAATTACATAACTACTCTAAGTGTCGGTCTAAGGATCCCGAAGTATCCACCGAACAAATCAAAGTAATTATTAATTAATAAAAGAGTCTATATTTTTCTCATGCTTAAGAGTCAAATGCCATGAAAGTGATAGGGAGTAATTGCATACGACGGCTCTCGCAATATATCTCAACCTAACGTGGATCCAGTTTAAGTTTTAATTAATTATTAGTCCATCCATAATTACCGACTATGAACAATTTATGATTACTATTTATATTCATGTATTGATTATCATCACATACTTATATAAATATCTCTTATAATCAAGTGGACACTTTCAATTCTATAATGAATCGAAACATAATACATTGAATTCACCAATTGTATAAAACATAAATATTTTAGAAACGTCAGGAACATATGTCACTATAATCCAGATAAGAATTTGCTATGCCAGGGCATATAAATCCCAACAGCTCCCACTTGCCCTCATAGCCAATTCAAATTGCATTTAACTCTAATGTTATCCAGATGACGATCAAAATTATTGATCAATGACACCTTTGTTAATGGATCAACAAAGTTGTGTTCCAATGCAATGTTCTAACCACAAGTACATTTTCTTGCCGGACAATATCATGTAGAACATGATACTTCCTCTCAGTGTAACTTGTTCCTCTATGGAACCTTGGGTCATTGGTTTAGACTACTTCTGCACTATTGTCACAATATAGTTCGATAGACAAGCTAGTATGCTCCACAACCTCTAAATTAGTGAGATCAAACCAAAAGGCTTCCTTTGCCGCCTTTAAGGCTGCAATGAACTTCCTCTGCAGGTTTGAGTCAGCAGTTGAAATCTACTTAACCATCTACTAACTGATTTCCTTTCCATTGAGTGAACATACACTAAGTCATGAACCTCATAGTATCTACTTCTAATTGAAAATCAGAACTAGCATACTTGACTAGGACCATATCATCACATCTATAAATGAGTATGAGATCATTGGTTCTCCTAAGGTACTTAATGATATTTTTCATAACAGACCAGTTATCAAGTCCAGGATTGGACTGATATCTACTGACTATCCCTACTATGTAGCGGATGTCCTGTTTGGTATATACCATGGCATATATGAGACTCCTATATGCCAAAGCATATAGTTCCAGTCTCATTTGCTCAATCTCTTCTGTCAGTCTTGTAAAACTACCTACTGGAGAGAGCAATCCATGTCAATCAAGTAAGAACTCATTCTTTGAGTTTTGCATACCAAACTTGGTCAAAACTTTATCAATGTAGGATTATTAAGACAAGCCTATTTTTCTTTTATCCTGATCTTGCAAAAGCTTGATCATAGGAATATAGCTTACATCTTGAAGATCCTCCATTTAAAAGTAATTGAACAACTACCTCTTTATTGATGACAAAACTTCCACGTCATTATAAATGAGTAGGATGTCAACAATATATATAGAATTAGAAAAATAATGACATTCCTTTGTACGCTTATGATTTATTCACTAAGAAATCTTTTGGTATCCTTTTGTAGGTTAACTTGTCTTCCATAGGTATCACCCTACTAGAAAGTTCTACAAGATCCCAGATTTTATTACAATACATTAATTCCTACTCTGATTTTATAGCAACTTACCAAAACGATCTGTATCCATATCAGTTCACGCTTTCGTGTAGCTTACTAGGTCCAACTCATGTTTAACAGGGATATCCGTAAAGGTCTCACCTAAAAACATGATTCTGTCAGATTGGATGATAATCCTCCCACTACATCAATGTACCGATGCAGGAATCTGTGTACTAGATGATGCTGACACATCAATAGGGAATTTATCTATAATTCTTAATCTCTATAATAAGTGTGTTCATCTTGTGGTACAACTGGTACTAATACCATATTCTCACACATTATGTTACTAGGTATATGATTCATAATATAATCCCCCTATAGATAAACAGTGAGTGTAAACAATCAACTTTTATCATTGAGATAATAAAATAATCAATCCTAATGCCTTTAGAGTAGCTATCAAATCAATCATGCATATGATCTGCTTCCAACTTACTTATCAATATCAAGCGCATATGTGCAAGACTACCCCATATGTGCATGTGATTCAAACTAAGATTTAGTAAAAAACACAGCTCAATGGTATCCTTGAGACAGACTAAGATGGAATGCAGTTCATAATGCGCATCGATGTCATTAACGCTAAACTCTTAAATGAAAGAGATAATATGGCATAACTGATCATAGATCTAACCATGTTAAGTGGAATTCTGTTATTCTTATTTGACACCTAAATGCATTTAGCGTCAATTACGGAAAATTGGTACACAACACCCTCATTGACCATATAGTCTTTGCACTATCTCAAAAAATACTCATATCCACGATCAGATCGAAGTGTTTGATAAGTTTACCTAATCTGTGCTCCCCATCAGTCTTGACACTTTCAGAATATACCAAAAATTTAAGACTTGTGTTGCATCAGATAAATTTATCCAAAATGTGAGTAATCTTACTTGGATGTTCAAAAGACCACACGTGTCTGTGTGTACCGACTCCAATTGTCCTTTATGTTTATTTCATTTGGCTGATTAAGCCCTTAGAGTTATCTATCCTTCAAAATAGGATTCACAAGTTTGGTTTAGGCTCCTCTGCCTCACAAGGTTATAAACCTTCTTTGACCAATCTTTGAATCTTATTTTGACTGATTATAACCCAAAAATAGACACTAAAAACACAATGAGTCAGGAATAACAAATTTTCTCTTAACATTCAATCCAGAAAATACAATATGAGTTTCTACATCATGCAAATATTAAGAGTTTGTGATTATAGTATATCAACCATCTTTTAATGCACCAGAAACAATCGCACATCTATTCAATTTTATAAAACCAGTTTTACAAAATAACAACACAGTTTTTATAAACCAAAAGTGAAACAAGAATTAGATTGTGTCTAACATCTGTGCATAAAGATAGTTCTATAATACTAATATCCTCATACTCTCTTATTTCAGATGTAATACTCCCACTGACTTTGCTACAACCTTGGCATCAGGTTAAAAGACAAATATATATCCACATCATCAAGGCTTCTGGATTCCTGAAATCCTTGCAACGAATTGAAAACATATTTAGTGGCTCCAGAATCTATCCATCAGGAATTAATAGATATAACCACATAACACGACTCAATGATTAAATATATTTTCCTATGCCAAGTCATTGCTTAGACAGTTCGTCCTTTAGTGTCTTAGTTAGCGGCAAAAGAAACAGTTTCCTTCGCCCTCAACATACACTGCCTTATTCCCTTTAACCTTTTGGATACCCCTGTTTTGTGTTAGCCTAGTCTTATTATCATCCTTCTCTTTTCCTTTGCCCTTCCACTTGGGCCTAGAAGAAGATGGTATAGACTAAATCAAATTGATAGTAATGCCTATACTTCTGATTATCCCTTTATCTGTTACTAATTCTATAAGAATAGCGAGTGTGAACTCAAACTAATTCCTTATTTAGTCTACTCTGAAAGAGCCGAACGAATTTGGTAACAAGGCAATAATCATGTTAATTTGAAACTTACCATTCAAGTCAGCCTTATTGATCTCCGGTTTAATTTTTAAATAATAAACAATCATTTTAAAAATACGATCTCATACTGGAGTTCCTTAAGCTATCTTAATGGTATTCAAGTTTGACATAGTATTTAGACATCTCCTCTATCTAATCTCACTAAAACATCTCATTGATATTTAACATAATGCTTGAAGAAAATAAAATAATATAATTGTTAGTTTTGGAACATATTCGAGGTAAACTCTAGAATATTGCACCAAGTCCTATCATTTGCCTTATTTCACTTATTAAAAGTATTAATGTTCTCTTGGGTATCTTAAAGTAAAAGGATTAGGTTTAGGAGTAATAAATACATTTTGTACCATTACGTTGTGAATAAAATATTTAAGTTCCTTATCCAGTCAATATAAATGAGGTCCAAAAACATTGAATATGTAAGCAAGCAGATAAAATGGATT